CTCGGGCCCGCCCGCGAGCAGTAGCTATGGACGCGGCCGAGCCGGAGCCCGTCCCGAGGGCTTCCGCTTCTCCCCCCAGCCCGAGCTCTGCCAGGAGCCCGCCCCGCCACACACACAGCCAGAGACCTGCGCAAAGTACACACGCTGTTTATTAAACACGGATCCCCCTGCCGGGCTACGCCGCCCGCTGCAGCCCCGGCCCGGGCCCCCGCCGGCGGCCTCCTGGCTTCAGCAAAGGGCCGCCTGCGCCCGCCCAGCCTCTGCTGCCCTGGGGCTGGAGCAAAAGCCACTCACCGCAGCGCCGAGATGGCAGAGCAGCTAAGCCGGGCCCGACGGCCAGCAGGCAGCTCTGCCCCTTCGCTCCGCTGCGGTGAATGGGGAATCCCAGACGGCTTCCTTCCGTGCTTAAAATTAAAGCAGCGCAGAAACGTTTGCCAAGCAGAGGCCTAACTCCAGGAGAGCGCCTGCGCCTCTGCTGCTTGTTCCTCCCACTCACCCTCGCCAAAGGGAAAAAAAAAAGCCACTTGTTCAGTTTTCCAATGGGTTTTCCTCACACGGACCCTAAACACAAGTCCTAGGTGAAGGCAATGTCCACACCTAACCTAATGCTGCCCTCCACTGTCAAATACCAAATCCCACCACATCATTTGGAATATATTAATCTCCAGTTCAACAAACTACCCTCTATCCAGTGCACCACAAAGGAGTTGCAACGTACAACCTTAAATCCAGCTGTTAAATGTGCCATTTTGGTATGACATACCACGAACATAGGTGGAACAGAAGGCATGGGCGAGTTTCAACAATACTTATCCAATATGCAGGTTCAAACATACCTTTATACAAGCTATCCCAACCATGCTGTAAGCAGATTTCCTTTTGAGCATTTAGTTTTTTGGGTAGGGGAAAAAAAGAACACTAAGAGATTAAGCGAAATGCCTTTTTAAAATGAAGGTCTGTCTGGAATAGTTTTTGTCCTAGCATTCCCTTGATTTTTGGGCAGCAACCCCATGGTTGTCAGAAGTTCTGTTAGTGAGTCCTGTAGTGCCAGATTAAGTAATATTTCACAGCACGATATTTGATGTCTCTTTCAAATGTTGCAGTCTTGGAGGGTTTAGTTTCTGCTGACCTAGGCACCAGATGCTAGACATTTTCCAGGGCTGTCAGTCATTCCAGCAGGGGTTATATTTGTCCTGAAGGCTCTTTCAAGCATTGTTCTCACAGGTTTAAAAAAGGTACTGGAAGCTTTTACATGGAAGAAAAAACCCAACTGAACTCTTTCGGACTTTAGGGGTTCTATATCACCTTTAAACTTGGTAAGGCTCATCACATTTCTTTAAGTCTCATCTCTAACAAAATTCTGATGGACCAGAAGTTTTTTGGGCATCATTTCTGACCTTAGTCACAAGGCATTTCAGACACATTTTCTTGGCCATAAATTCTAAATCAAGATCAGACTTGGGCTGGAAATTATTTCACAGCCTTAATTAGGGAGAGCTGTTAAGTGGCAGAAAGCTGTTTGACAAATCCTTGAGGGGATGATAATGAATATGGGAATAATGAATAGATGAACAACCATCTTAAAAGGGCCTAATTTCAGAGAGACTCTCTGGGGTATAAACCATGAAAGACCCCAGCATCCTGAGACGCACAGTGGCTTGCAATTGTGTTGGAAATGGCAGAGATACATGCTGGACAGCAAAAGCATCTCCTAGCTGGCACCAGGAAACTAAGAGGCAATGCAAAATCCTCTAGGGAAGCTGTATGTTAAGATACTGATGGGCATATATATCAGACCCTGTCAGATCCATTTTGCATGTGTGTATGGCTTAAGAACATTGCTTTCTCTTGCAGGAAGTTGTCTATGAAGGCAACAGAGGCCACCTGAAATAGACTCAATGCTCAAGCAGAAGGAAGGCACAAGGGGCCAGGGATGTCTTGTTTTTTCGGATTTGGAGTACAGCGTTGAGGCCTGCTCCCAGGGAGAAACCTGCCCTGCAGAGTCACACCCTAGAGACTGCATCTGTCCCAAGACCAAAAGTGCATGGGTGGAGGTACTGCTCTGGGTAACAGGTGAGCAGAAGTGTGATGGGACCTTGGAGCCCCTGGATGACAGTGCAGGGCAGAGGCACCGTCTCCTCCCCAGGCTCACAACGCACTCCTGAGCTTCCACCAGAGCAGTTTTACACTGGGCAGAGACACTTTTATAAAAGAGCTGTACATTAGGAACCAGGTGCTCTTGTGTGGAGGACTGCCCCCAGGGAGAGATCAAGGCAGTGTGAGGGACAGAAATGGCTTTAGCTCCTGGGATCAGGTGTGTGCGCTGGATCTGACTGATAAGTACACAGGGCTGTGCAGTCTCAGACTGGCACAGGACAGTGCTGGCAGCCACTATGGAACTCGGCTCAGGTGTTCCAGGAAGGACAGCTGCCCCATCTTTCCAGCTGCTCCACTGTGTGATGATCCCTGCCATGCTCACCTTTGTCAGCAAAGCACTGATGAACTCGTTGCAGGCATGGCTGGAGACTGGAAGCAGCAGCTGCTCTAGAATGAACAGCTCTTTGGTGCTAGATTCCTTCAAGGAAAGCCCCAAATAGGTCTTTAAAAAAATGTTGCATTTGGAGAGAGAGGGCGATGCAGCTGCCAGGGCCCAGTGACCAAGGCACCTGGAAGAGCCAACGGTTGGCACTAGGGCTGTGGGGAGCAAAGCCAAGGCCAGGCGATTCTCTGGTTTCATATAGTAAAGGAGTCCTGCCTCCAGACTTGCTCACCTGCGATGTATGTGGCTTGGACATGCAGGCTGTCATCCAGCATCAGGAAATCTGCAGACAGCCAGGAGAGCAAACAGGAGTCAGAGTGGCAGCAGACTGGGAAGGATGTCCTCCATTAGCAGGAGCTGGGATGGCAAAGGACTGGATTCTAGCAGAGTCCCACTAAGGATTTGCCATTAGGACTGCAAGGGTCCCAGTTTACAATTAAAACATGTAACCCAAGCAGGAGAAGACCTGCTCCAGGCAACTGAACCAACATGGGGTGCTGGAAGTGCCTAGAGTCACCTCTGGCTTCCAAAACCTGCCACAGGGATCTGATGGTACAAGAATAATTAGCTCAGAAAACAGATATCAAAGAACGAATAGGTCCCCATTCCCATGGAGAAATGACAGGCCATCCCGCTACTGAGCTTTTCCCAAAAGAAGCCAACCCAGGAAAGTCACAGCTGTGCCAGCCCCATCCTACCTCCCAATAAAGAGGAGGTGTAGTAGAAGCACTGACAGTGGTGGAGTTTGCACCTATGCCTTTCTCAGGTCCTTCTACAGGGACCAGAACAGGGGACAAGGAGCTCATGTCTGTCTGGTCCCAGCCTCACCCATCAGGAGGTGCTGCAGCAGCTGGTTGGGAGGAGCTGTCACCCTTCCCTCACATCCATACCTGCATCTGAATCATAGTCCAGGGTCCCCTTTTTGTGCTCAATTCCTAGGAGTTGGGCTGGGTGGAGAGACGCAGCCTCCAGTGCTGTCTCCACTGTGCACCCTTGGGAAGAGAGAGAGACAGAAGCTAAATGCAGACTTTTCCCCTGGGGAATACCACCCCATGCATCCCAGCCTGTGCAGCCCTTCAGTGGATGCAGCAACAGGCTGACTAAACCCAGACTCTGCAAGACAATGACAGCCACAGGGTTGCTGGTGGCTGGCCAGCCATGGACTGAAACTAAAGCCAGGTGGACCTATGCAGGGTCCCAGACTCTCCCAAAGGTATCCCCAGCATTCTGCTTCAGTTCCCATTACAGGCTGCAGTCGCGCTATGATGCTTTGCCGAGCTGTCAGGGATGAAAGGAGCCTGCAGGTGAGCAAGATTACTGCAGGCCCTGCTATCTAACCATTAATGGGATGGGGCTGGGAGAGAGAGATCCCATCAGTGGGGCCTGTAGGAGTAAGGAGCAGTTGGGGGCAGGGTTCTTTGCTTTCAGTCCCCATAAAGCCTACTGTGTCTCCCTGATAAAGTGCAGTCATGTTGGCTGGTCCCAAGTCCACTGGCAAGGGGCTGGAAACTGACAATGTATCTAATCTCATCTAAGGTGCCGAACACCCTTCGGCCAGCCAAAGAGACCTTTGCCCTGGAAAAGGTGGCAACATTAGGGAGCAGCTTTCTCCACCCCAAAGTCCGCAAACAGCAACAAAGAGCCTGGGCTTACCTGTAGCTTCTAGGAAGTGTCGAACACATGTATCCATGGTTGCTACGCTGCCACTCAGGGTTTTTGTCCCTGTGGGGGACAAGGAGAAAAGACAGGACACTGAGCAGATCCACCTGCCATTTAAACACAAGGAAGGGAGCATACATGAGTCCTAGCACAACCCACTGGGGTTAAAAATCCAAGGAGTGGAACAACTTATGACGACTTTCAAACCTCATTTCAAGCCAGCAGAAATTTTGGCTCCAGAGAAGGCCAGGGAGGACAGTGGGTGTGACAAAGCAGGATTGAGGGGCTATGGCAGAGCTGGAGAAGGGGACTAGACAGATGACCAACTGCTTGAGATGTGTTACTGGAACTAGGCAGGGGAAAAAGCATGCTCAGCCCCTGCTTGCCTCAGTGCAGTAGGTGGCCTTGCTCTCACGGGCACTAGGATCCTGGGAAAGGGCAGGGTTTTTAAACCAAAGAATGGAATAAAATGGTCCTTGTTATCTTACTCAGTGGGAGTCTCTCCCCCTACAATCACAGGGAAGGCTGCTCAGAGCAGCCCCCAGCCCCAGTCAAGATATGAAAACTGAGCAAAATGATGTCTACTTGAGCCTTTTCCCACAGGAGGTGCCCAACTTCCTGAGGCGCGGGCTCCATGGAGCCTCTCAGTGCAATTCCTTGGAAAGCAAGGAAGAAAGCAGTAGAAAGCAAAGCAAAACAACAGGGCCCTCTGGACAGGAGGGGAAACCAAATACTCTCCCTCACAGCACTACCAGTCTTCCTGGGGTTAGTGTGCACAGGGCTCACATCTGTTCTGCAGCCTGTGGGGCTGTCTGGGAGGGCTGCAGGAGGAAGAGCACTCACCTGCAATGTAGGTGTTCAGCCCATCTATCTCAATCACCTGCTGGCCCAGGGTGTGCCTTCCTGGAGCCAGCCCCATTCCAGCAATGGCATCTGTCACCAGCACCATGCCTGAGGGAAACAAGGAGTAGCTCCTGTTAGCTCCACAGCTGCTTATATCATACCCCACATGAACAAGTCTTGGTCATTCCACTCTCTGGGATATCTAATAGCAGCAGTTGGAGAGACTTAAGAAACAGCCAGAATGATGCACGCTTGCAGAGCAGAGGCTAATAAACTGGAACACATGGCAGGTGTCTTCTCAGAGCTGCCATACCATATTGGTGCAGCTCAGTACTACAAGCGAGTAGGAAGAAGAACGAGGACACTGCACAGGGCAAGAAGTCTGGGTTAGGGGATCAGGCCCTGGGCTGGGTCATTCATAGACCAAAGGGAAGCCACAGGCTGAAATGTAAACTCAGAAGTGAGGATGATGGGGAAGGTTGGGGGAATTGAAGAGCAGCACTAGACTGGACTAAGTGGGAACATCGATAAATAGGAATCATTTGTTACTCTGCTGGAGAAGGATGTAGGACTAATGTCCTTGGAGTCAGAGCCCTTAGTCTGTTCACAGAACAGGCAGTGACAGCTTAAGATTCACTCTTTGCTCCACCCTGGGGAGGTCACCTCCACAAGAAAAGCCAGAGCCATTCTTCTGATATCACTACTGCAAGGTTGATGACAGTGATGTGTGACACTGACACCCATTTACTGGGAGACAGAGGCAGCCCTGACTCATTTCACAGAACGGGTGTCTACTGGATCCACTGCAAGAATCACCACTCAACAGGGAGACGGCCTCAGGAAGCCAGCTAATCCCAGTCCCAACCCCATACAGCACTTGGGCAGCTACAGCAATCACTTGCAAGGAAATATCAACAAAACAACTCAGGTGTATTAAGCCTCTTTCAATGGAAACAGAGAAGCTGCTAGCAGTATGTCACAGCTTGAGAGTCAACATCAGAGGCCACTGAAGCACTGTTCTAGATTGAGTTGAGGGCCTCAGATACACATGGCTCTGAAGTAACAGCAACCTGTCCAGCACCACTGGAGGAGGATACTGTATTTGGCAAGGAGGTCAGTTCCTACAGATCCAGTGTTTTGGGAGAAGGTGCTGTACTGTGCGGACAGGAGGGGACCGCAGGGACACACCTTTGGGATGGGCACGATGTGCGATCCTCAGAGCAGCGGGGTTGGTGTGGATGCCATCTGATATCATGCCATAGAACACCCTCCGCCCGGTGGGGATCTTGTCACTTGTTAGCAGCCCAACAATCCCAGGGTCTCGATGGTGGAACTGGGCATGGGGAAAGGAGACAGAGAGAGAGAGGTGGTGGTTACCTTGGAGAAACACACAGGTGGCCAGCTTCCTACAATTAGGCATGCTGCCATGACAGCCACAGTTGGACATGAGTGAAGAGGGGAAGTGAGTCTGCTGAGTCTCCAGTCAGCGAGGGGGCTCTGTCTCCTATATGTAGCTGGGGTACAGAGAGGCTGGCAAGCCTGCTATAGCCTTTGGCTAAGAGACCCATGTCCTTTAGCTCAGGCAGCAGAGTCTTCTGTTTAGATGTAGAGATCATGTTTAATTCCCACAGACAGGGCACAGCACATGGGAGACAAGAATAAGTCCCAAGGGAAGCAAGACAGAGAAAAGGAGCAAGGAAGGTGATGACACCCCCTTCCCCAGCTACTTACGGGTAACATGGCATTGAACAAGTGAGTGATAAAGGTAGCACCATGCTGGACAGCTTCCTCTGCCTGAGAGAGATTAGCCACAGAGTGACCTGTGAATAAAGGGTGCCACATGAAATCTTGGACTCCTTTCTCCTCTTTCCATTGACTTCCAAGAGGACGGTGCACTCAGTTCACAAGCTGCAAGTTTGCTCTGATGCTCCAGTGCTGGAAAGCCACCCGGTGTACAGCTGAGAACTGGACAATGGACTCTCCAATGTGAACTGGAGAATTACACCTAAATATGCCTAGAGGCACTGGAGGCTGAGATGAATTTGGGTCAATACTGCAGAGTAACACACACATATGCTGCTTGGCTTCCAGGGACTTCAGTGAAGGATTCTGATTTTTGGTCAGGTTAGGGCCATAGAAGGACATGCTCTCCTGGTGTCTATGTTTTTAGGAACTATTACTCGAAAACTGGGTTGCTGTTTGTTTGGGGGGGGAAGAAAGAGTGGAGGAAGGAGAGAAAAGATGAGACTCTCTGGCCCTCCAATCTGACAGCTAGAGGGAAGATGTTAATGAAACCTGGAGCTTTTATTACACTGACAGCACAATGTTTGTTTCCCTGATGAAGATGAAAGCCCTAACCCCTTCCAGGGTCCTTGGACCTTCTGCTAGCAGATTACTGCCATTCTGGATATTTTCTTTGATGAGGGCTGTGGGGTAGTGAACACTGCATTCAATCACAGTTCTGTTGCAAACCCTCATTTTAAGTGGCTCAATTTCAGCACTTGAGGGCATCTAAAAAAAGCTGGTTTGATCTCAGCTCAAAGAGGAGAATGTGGGGGAAACATGAGCAAAATCCAGCCAGCTCAATGTGCAAGAGTTAAAAGTCTCAGACCTGGCTTTCACTTTGAAATGACACTGTCCTAAGTTCTGCAAAGAGGTTAGGATGCACATCAAAAAGGTGGAGTTTCAAGAATCCCTGCTTGGTACTGTCTGGGAGCCTGACTTCCTTTAGGTACCTCAAGCTATATGCCCCAAATCTACTCACCTTGGATGTTTTAGTATTTTTGTGCACAATTTCATATGGTTGGCCTCACTTAGGGCCTTTAAGGAAAAACATGGATCATATTCTGCCCGTAGATACAGACCCCCATTCCTTTGCTCAGTTCCATATTGCTCACTCGTGTGGGAGTGGAATCTGGCTGTTCATGACAGAGTTTTAAAACACTGCCACTATAAATGCAGAATGAGCTACTCCCAACTAGTTGGGAACTGTGCTACTGTTTGTGGCTATGCAGCCATCTAAAGACAGAAGAGCACTGTTGATATTTACAGAAGAGTTTTGGTACTGCTATTTCACTGCAGACCTCCAGAGCTGTGTAGGATTTTGACATAGCACAGCTACACAAATAAGGAAAGGAAGCAGAGGGATTTTTTCTTTTGTGTTTAGGGAGAGGGAAGGGAAGAATTTGGGGAGGGAAATCCAATACTAAAGGCTTCAATTCATGCCCTATAATAGGGACTACTCAAGTACCACTTTAAATCAGGAAATGCATCTGGTAAAGGAGAAAGCTTTCTGTATTACACTCAGAATGAACCAGTCCAGTTAGCAAAGGCAGTTCATTTGTGTGTTAAATTTTGCTATCAACATCAGTGTACTTTTACCCAGGTATTGACCAGTGCTATAGAGTGAATGATGCCCAGGATTTGCAACGTAAGTAGTACATATTAGGATCTTCAGGGACCTTCTGGACCTGCCCTCCCACTCTGTGACTGGGCCTTACCTAGTGAGACACAGATGCCTCGTTTAGTGAGTTCCTCGATCACCTCACCACTCCTCTTCATCTCGGGGGCCAGAGTGACAATCCGGATGCAGTCCAGGGCCCCATAGGTGGCAAGCAAGTCCTGGAAGGCTCCTGACTCAAAGGTGCGAAGGCAGTGCTCTGGATGAGCCCCCTTCTTCTCCCTACTTATAAAAGGCCCCTCCAGATGGGCTCCTGCCCAAGGGAAAGGATTAAAGAACACCCATAATTATTCCTGCTCTCTGAATAAACAAAAATAAAGCACCCATTGTGGTATCCTGGACCAGCCATAACACCACCCTCCCAGATGGCTTTGAGAATGGAGCAGGTGGCTGTAGGGCTGAAGAAAAGTCAAGGCTCTTCCCCCTCTCTCTGTATTAGTCATAAAACTATAATCTTTACTCTCCTGGCCCTTGCCTCTCCAAACTCACCATGCTGCCCCCATTTCCTGCTTTCTACTCCACACAGAGCTTGCAGTAACTGAGATTTGAGGAAAATACCATGGCCAATGAAAGGTGACTCTCCCCAGGGGACTTACCCCTAGGTTTCAGATAGGGATGACCCTGGGGTGCCTGGGTGGTCCACCCCTTAAAAATGAGGGTCTCTAATGGCTGTACTCCATAAGAAGAGAGAGATATCATCACTACCAGCATAGCCAGCCTGCTGACCCTGGGCCACGCACTACCCAGCAAGGTCATTTTCTCAATGTTTTGAAGCAGTCTGGAGGACCATGGTAACTTGCATATCCCAGTGGAGATCTCCAGGAGCCCTGGCCATTCCATTTCTGGCCTCCTCAAAATATAGTGCTCCAGGCCTCTGTCAGCCATGGTCAGTGGTTTCCATAAGAGCTCGCCTCTGCAGTGGTCTCCACCTGCTGCAGAGGTAAGAAGCCCTGTACAGCAGGGAGGCTACTGGGAAAGAGGACTAGGAGGTGATTTTGCTGTTTACTTACCCAGGACACCTGCTCCGTGGGCTCCTCCATTTCTTACGCTGATCTGAGGAAGAACCTAGCAGAAAGCGACCTGTTAGAAACCTCACAGACATGGTACCCCTCCTGCTTGTAGGAAGGTCCCTATTCAAGGCCCATGGGTATGGGTACAGAAGAGAATGATTGTGCCCCTGCTATTCCAGGGCAGGGTGAGAGGGAACTGTTCCTCAGTGGAATGGTGCCACCTAGCACAGAGCTGTTCTTTTGCTGTGTAAAGCTTTCAACAGCAATCCTGACAGTGGGAAAACCCAACGAGGCTAAGGTTAGGAAAAACCTTGATCTTCAGAAAAGACCCTCCCCAGAGCCCCCTTGCTTCAGTCTTCCAGTGCCTTGCCCTCACTATACTCCCAAAGAGACCACCACGTGTCACTAACAACATATCCCTCAGAGCAGGCAGGTCTCAGTCCCCATTTGACTTTGTCAGCTGCCTGAAGGGACCCTAGGAACGCTACTGCGTCAGCTGTCTGAAGGTTAAGACCAAGTGACCCAGGTCTAGAGTTCAGCTCCTCCCATCCATGACACATCCCAACAGGCAGCTGCCAGCCCAGGTCCCACATGCCACCATATTCCCAGAGGTTGAGGTATAACTGGGGCTGGGGCTGACCCAGCTTCAGCCTCCTACACTATGGGAGCCAGCTCCATGGTCTCCTCGTACCTTGTGGTAGACTGATGGTGGGGAGGTCACCAGGGTGGGGCAGAAGGAGGTCACTCCATGGGAGAGAATCTTCTGACTAACCAGGTTGATCCCTGATTTGAAGTCATCAGTAGCCAGGGAGAAATCCACCCCAAAGCCTCCTGGATCATAAAGAAAACGAGGACATAGAATTTACCTTGTTAGGCCACTCTCTGTACAGCTGGCATATCTACCTCTGGCAGTGCCCAGCACAAGACAGCCAGAGCAGACCTTGTTGAAAATTGCTTGTTGTTTAACCCAAGCCATGTCAGTAGGAGAAGGATGAGAGGAGATGAGAGAAAAAAGGAACCCCTGACACACATGCCTGATGGATACCAGTCACAAGAGACAGCGACTCCTTCTGCCACCATGAGAACAGCAATCTGCTGTGGGTCTGAGGCCTACACTGGAACAGCACTGAGGGACAGCATGACAGTAGGCATTGAAGGCCAGAGCTTAGGTGTAGCCACTGGGGAGAGGCTACTGGAGTCAACTCCAAGTAAAATGTCACCAAACTGACCCACCTTACAACGTCTTACCATTGATCTGCACATCTATAAATCCGGGAGCAATGATGCTATCCTTACAATCCAGCTGAATATCAGCAAACCCCTTCTCATCGAAGAAGAGCTTTTCTGGGTTGAGGATCTTCCCTTCTCTCACCCACAGGTCCTCCCTAAAAATAGAGCCATGCATACAATAATCACTCCCAAGAGCAGAGAGGGCCCAGACAACGATCATTCTCTGGCAGTGGTTTTGGACATCAGATGGGCCATCCCTACATCCCTGGAGCCTAAGCCCCAGGTGCATTATGGACAGTGGAGGCCAGAACAGCTCAGCACCAAGCATGCTCTCCCCTGGGAACTGCCATCCTCAGGAGTTTCCTATCCTGCCAGGCCAGTGCCACCAACATCTATATTCTTCTATTTAGCAGGTCAGGAAACCATTGGGTTCTTTCTCCCTGCAGGGAAAGAATGCAGAAAGAGCATAGGGCAGATGAAATGATCATGACAGGAGTCTCCTCTTCTTCTAGTGGGCTGCTACATAGGTAACTCACCATATATGTGTCTGCTATAGGGCTTAGGATGTTATAAGAATCTGGGAATCCCAAGGTTAGTGTTCTGTTTTGCCATGCAAAAGACCTGGGCCCAGCTCCTAGAACTTTCCTCCTCTGAGCAGCAGCATTCTGGGGTCCAACATCACTTTCCCCAGGCACTCGATAGACACAAATAGGTAAACCATACTACACACTCACCTCTGCAGTTGGCTATTTCTCAATATCCGGCAGTTTGTGAACTGGAAGATTGGGGCATCTGAGACAGACTTATTGGATGGCATTGTTGGTGCTCTGAGTGACCAGACCTGAAACAGAGAAAGGGAATGATGCCGAGGGCAGGTTACTCCCCAAACACTTCATAGGGACATATATGGAAGAATGAGAAAGGAAAGATGAGGTCTGGGATTCAGATCCTGATATGATTCCTGCATTTGTTAGTGGAAGATGAGAAAAAGATGTGGCTTTTCAAAGAAGGAAGCATAGAGAATGAGAGTACAGGAGACAGAAATCAGACAAATGAGGTAGGAATGTTCATGTGTGGGTACACCACCTGGTACAAGCTGATAAGGGGCATGCATGCGAATGGGGGCGATGTAAATGGTGGCATGGTGGTGGTAGGGAGTGAGTTGGAAATTAAAAGAGAAAACCTGAGTGGAGGGAGAAAAAAGTGGAAAAGCAAGAAGAAAGAACTTGAATTCATGAATGTTGTCTGTTCAGGCTCCCCCAATTCACTGTACTTCCTTGGAGCAGGCCCCTTAAGTCAGCAGGGCTGGGCACAGGAGCAAAGGTTTGCCTGCATGAAGCAGCTTGCAGGACTGATGTGTAAGACTGGCAGAGCAGGGGTGGGGAAGGCTGCTACTTGGAGCCCTAGACCTTCTGCTCCCAGCCCAGCTATTGCTGCTGGACTCTCAAGCTAGAGATTTGCAGAAAGACAAGACCACCCAACCCAAACACTGCCAAACCCTGTATGACGGCTGGCTGGGAGGCCCCAACATATTTCAAGCGTTTTCCTGAGGAAAAAAAGTTTGAAGTTGCTTGCAACTAAGCAGGGACCTTTGCACCAGCAGTCACCTTCCACCTCTAGCAGCAATAGGGCAGGGAGAAGGAGCCAGGGGAAAGGAAGAACCTTTAGGTCAGAGCCACACACTAGTTCAAACAGCCACAGCACAGTTAAGGACAAGCGACTGCTCCCTGCTGCCGTTAGAGCACCAGTCAGTGGCTGCCCAGAGCTATATGTTAACACGGACTAGTAGGGCAGGAGGGGACTGTAGGTCTAGCTCCAGGTAGGATCATCCTTGACTGCACCATGCACTCAAGTGTGCGCTTACAAACGGGGGGGGGGGGCCAGGGGCTCCCCACCGCTCTGGGGAGCCAGGGCCAAGGCGCCCCGACAACTCATGTGTCATTTTGGTCCTGTGGGATTTTAAGCGACCCGTTTAGCCGCCCTTGAAATGGAGTCTCCGGGCCCGACCCCAAAGCCACGGGTGTCAAAGGGCATCTTTCCGCCGGCTGCCGCGAGCTGCAGGAGGGGCCCGGTGGGGGC